TTTTTTAGAGACAGCATCTTGCTATGTTGTCCAGGCTGGTCTTGAGTTTTTGGCCTCAAGTGATCTCCCACCTTGGCCTCCTGAGTCACTGGGATTACAAGCATGAGCTGCTGTGCCCAGCTCCTGACCCTTTGTTTCTTACTCTGATTTTGGCCTCTTCTGTTCCTGATCTGACTCATTCCTTTCTAGGTCTGTGCTGATTGGCCTAGCCTGAGGCTCCCCAACACTGTTCTTGCCACCGAGGCTACTTTTTCCTGAGGAAAAATGAATGACAACAGCTGATAAGGGCAGGCCATGACAAAAGGGCAGTCCCAGCCACCCCAACACCATCACTGGCAGGCTTCCAGGTGTACCCTGCATCACAAGAGCGTCCTTTCTTCCTATTTACTGGGATACTAATCCTCCTCAATATTTCTGTTTAGTATTTACAGTTGTCAATGAAAGATTCATGGGATGCTGCCAAGTATATAGCAAAAGGTAGACCTTGTTTGGCCAGCTCGCCACCTGATTTAATCAATAACCACTGGTGCTGAGATGCAGAAATGGGGAAAATGGAGGAATTATGGATCTACTCTGTCTTCTTAGATGACAGTCTCAGGACAAGGGTTAGGCTTTGACTACAGTCTTCAGCTCTTTGCTCTGGCCAGCCCTATTTACCACAGGCCTGAATGGGTTATCAAGAATAAAGCTGGTGGCCAGGTGCAGTGGCTCACATCTGTAATCCCAGCACTTTGAGAGGCTGACGCAGGTAGATCACCTGAGGTCAGGAGTTCAAGACCAGCCTGGTCGACATGGTGAAAACCCATCTCTACTAAAAACACAAAAAATTAGTCAGGCATGGTAGAGGGAGCCTATAATCCCAGCTACTTAGGAGGCTGAGGCAAGAGAATCTCTTGAACCTGGGAGGCAGAAGTTGCAGTGAGCCAAGATTATGCCATTGCACTCCAGCCTGGGCAATAAGCAAAACTCCATCTAAAAAAAAAAAAAAAAAAAAAAAAAAAAAAAAAAAAGCCAGCTGGATGAGAACCTTCAGATTGTGCCTATAAAGAAGGGAATAAAAGAGGAAAAGGATGGCCATGGGCAGGCACTGCAGCTCATGCCTGTAATCCCAGCACTTTGGAAGGCTGAGGTGGGAGGATTGCTTGAGTCCAGGAGTTCAAGACCAGCCTGGGCAACACAGTGGGGCCCTGACTCTGCAATACAGGTGTAGTGTGCATCTGTAGTTCAACTACGCTGGAGGCTGAGATGGGAGCATCACTTGAGCCTAGGAGGTTCATGCTGTACTGAGCCTTGATGGTGCCACTGTACTCCAGCCTGGGCGACAGAGTGAGACCCTGTGGCTTAAGAGAAAAAACAAACCCAGAAAGGAGAGGCATAGGCTGAAATAAGAAGATAGAAGGAACAGGTAAGCTAAGTTTAGTTTTGTGATTTAGAGGCTCCCATGCCCCCAAAGCTGGTCTGGGGTCATTCAGAGCTCTTATGGTGAAGTTCTATGACAAGAGTCTAACCAATCTCAGTCTTCTCTGCCCTGTCCTACTTTAGAGTGAGGAAGACCTAAGAATGGGTCTCTTGCTTCTATAGGGCCTTTGGAATATCCACACTTGGCACCAGTTGTGAAGGCCTGAAGTTTTACTTTGCAAACATGCAAATCTTTACTGGGATGTATAGATTAGACCAGAATAACTGTGATGATAGGAGAGCCATCAGAGACAAATTCTGTTTACTGTGGGTGTCATTTCACCTACACTTGACCTTACATGAAAGGATAGTGCTAATCCACGTGAAGGGAACCAGGGTACCTCTAAGCAGGGAGTGATGGTAAAAGATACTAGTCAGGCCTAGAAGGTTCAAGCCAAGTGGGATGTGATTTTAGAGATAACCCAGTCATTTCATTTTACTAAATGAAGAAATAGAAACTGAGTGATGATGTGATTTTCCCAAAGTCACACAGCTGGATAATGACTTTCCAACTTTTGAAGACTGATAAAGGGCTATTTACCTTCCTCCCTCCCACGCCCTTTCATAGGGATTCCCACAGCACAAGTAAACTATAAAGGTTTACTTATTGTAAACAAGATAAGCACTTCATTATGATAGAGAATTAAGGAAACTTTTAGTGGGAAAGCCAGGGAACACAAGCAGCAATAATGAAAACTTCTGGTTCTTACTGATGCTTTTTTTGTTCATTAGGACTAGCAGTAGCCAAAGTACCTTTAAAAGCTAGGAGAAACAGGCTGGACGCAGTGACTCACGCCTGTAACCTCGGCACTTTGGAGGCCAAGGTGGGTGGATCATTTGAGGTCAGGAGTTCAAGACCAGCCTGGCCAACATGGTGAAACCCCTATCTCTAATAAAAACATGAAAATTAGCTGGGTGTGGTGGCTTGCACCTGTAGTCCCAGCTACTCAGGAGGCTGAGGCATGAAAATCGCTTGAGTCCAGGAGATGGAGGTTGCAGTGAGCTGAGATCACACCACCTCACTCCAGCCTAGGAGACAGAGTGAGACTCTGGCTAAAATAAAATAAAGCACATTAGGAGAAGCAAAGGAAGTACAATGATGAAAGAAAGAGAGTCCCTGTCCTTGAGGAGGTCACAGTCTAGCCAGGGAGATAAATGTACGCATAAAATGACTTGAAAAGATTGCAAGCAACATGTCAACAATTGCAAAGTAATTGATTATTAGAAAAAAAAGGCCGGGCATGGTGGCTTATGCTTGTAATCTCAGCACTTTGGGAGGTTGAGATGGGAGGATTGCTTGAAGCCAGCCTGATCAACATAGCAAGACCCCATCTCTATTTAAAATTTTTTTTTTT